ACAATAAAGAATTTGCCTGCAATGCAGGACACCTGAGTTCGATTTCTGGGCTGGGAAGATCCCCTGGAGAAGGAAATGGCAACCCACTCCAGTATTCTTGCCTGGAGAATCCCATGGACAGAGGAGCCTGGCGGGCTACAGTCCATGGGGTCACAAAGAGTCGGACACGACTTAGTGACTAAACCACCACCACCAGACTTTTTGATGGCCATTCTGACCGGTGTGAGATGATCCCTCATTGTCGTTTTGATTTGCATTCCTGTAATAATGAGCAATGTTGGACATCTTTTCATGTGTTTATTAGCCATCTATATGTCTTTGGAGAAATGTCTGTTTAGGTCTTCTGCCCACTTTTTGATTGGGTTGTTCCTTTTTCTGGTATTGAGCTGCATAAACTGCTTGTGTATATTGGAGATTAATTCTGTCAGTTGTTTCCTTTGCTGTTATTTTCTCCCATTCTGTCTTTTCAACTTGTTTATGGTTCCCTTTGTTGTGCGAAAGCTTTTAAGTTTAATTAGGTCCCATTTATTTAAGGGCTTTCCAGGTGGCTCCGTGGTAAAGAATCCACCTGTCAATGCAGGAGATGCAGGATACATGGGTTTGATCTCTGGGTCAGGAAGATCCCCTGGAGGACGTAATCACAATCCACTCCAATATTCTTGCCTGGAGAATCCCATGGACAGAGGAGCCTGGTGGGCTACAGTCCATGGGGTTGGAAAGAGTCAGACATGACTGAGTGACTGAGTCCTTCCTCCTGACTAGGTCCCGTTTGTTTATTTTTACTTTTATTTCTGTTACTCTGGGAGGTGGGTCATAGAAGATCTTGCTGTGATTTATGTCAGAGAGTGTTCTGCCTATGTTTTCCTCTAAGAGCTTTATAGTTTCTGGCCTTACATTTCGGTCTGTGATTTATTTTGAATTTATCTTTGCATATGGTGTTAGGGAAAACTTTGGAAGACGAGGAACAGGGAGGCCTGGCGCGCTGCAGTCCGTGGGGTGGCAAAGAGTTGGACATGCCTGAGTGTCTGAGCCACATGGTGTTAGGAGGTGTTCTGATTTCATTCTTTTACATGTAGTTGCAGTTTGTAAGCTTCCTCTGTCATTCACTTGTCCTGCCAGCAGGGTATACTGGACTGTGAGCAGAAGGGGAAGAGGGAAAGAAATACAGACCTTGACACCGGGTTGCGGCGACTCACAGGAGGCTGCAGCTGTTCCATTTTAGTTCCGTGTATCCTGACCTGCTATTGCCATTAAGAGGTTGCTAACTCATTCCTAAAGCTGGCTTACCTAACAGAAGACTCCGAGGGGCTGACACACTCCTTAGGAAGGACTTAAGGGCAGTACCTTAACAGCACCAAAAGGAATTCACTGTGACCTCCTAGTGCCTTCAGAGCAAAAGCTAAAATAAGCAAATAAAAGCAGTTGTGGGGGAAGACTGATACTTTGGTCATCTGTAGGAGTGGAGGAAATGCAAAACCCCCTTCTCTGTAAAGCAGCCCGCAGCCCCGGCCTGGAAGATAACTGTGCAGAAGTCTTGAGGGACAGACGAGTGGCAGGTGACAGTAACAGGGTGTTCCCGGTGACAAAAAACTTGGAATATGTCTCCAAATGCTGACTCACCATCCTTGCAGTTACTGATCAAACAATAGCTCTTTATAAAACCAATGATGATGCTTTTTCCCCTCACTTTAATTGTCTTAAAACCCTGGAAGTCACTGAGTGCTTTCTAAAATGAGGCATTGGGAATTAAGAGCTACAACTGGAACTCAGGTCTTCTAAACATTATATCACTTCTTTGAAAGCAATTTTCAGGTTTCTAGGTGAAACAGTCTATGCAAGCATACATGAGGGTCAAATACCTCTCTCTGATCCAGCAGAAATGACAAGAAAAACTGTTAATAAATAAACTTCTGAAATACTTGCCCTTTGGTATAAGTAAAAATACCACAGAATCCCCCTTTGCTCACATAAATAAACAGCACATTCTCTGCACAGTTTTTGCCAAGAGTTAAAATCCAGATATAATGTTTTAAATTATGGAGACAAAAACACTTATAACTACCGTAATCTTAAAGATTCCTCACACTACCAATTAAGAAATTCTGCCCTAAAGTATGAATGTTTCTCTGCAATTCTCTACAAATCACCACTAATAAGATAATAGAGCAGAAAAATTAGTAGGGAGTTCATTTGATTTTTTTCCCCCTGAAGGCTGGCTTTAGTGGGAGAATTTATCTACATTTCAATTCTCACGCATTGTGAATGATAAATGAACTCTACTGCATAAAGGACATGACATTGCTGTGCCTTAGATTTCTATTTTCTTTCATCAGAATATCCCACCTAGCAAAATTCATAGCTCAGTGCTTGTCTCTCTATAAGGAATATGTAGATTAATGAAACCCTACCCCTCTAAAGAACCCTAGTTCAGGCCATGATTCAAAACAGGCAAAAAGAAATAGTCTGAGAGGTGTAAGGCCAGGCAGTCAGCTGCCTCATTTTGGTTTCTATCAGGCATGTCTGCTCTGGTTCATTCTAAACAGGAAGAACAATAGGAAACCTATTTTATGAGGCTTTCATCACCTGATTCAATGGCTGCAGGACCAGAGACAGTGAAGAGATATTTGCCCTGAAGCTGCAAGCAGAACACTAGAGGAAAACACATTACCCTTCATCGCTTCCCCCAGCTCTGTCTGCACTCTCTCCTGTATTATTTGAAGAATAGGTTCCTTATCCAGACAGCCTCCTGTATGATCCCACATAGCAATGGCTATAACCCTGATGGGTGACAAATGTTGAATTGATATTGCTAAGGGGAGTCTGGAGTCAGAGGAAAAAAATAACATGCATTCTTTTACAGTTGCTATGAGAAAAGTCAATTTATTGTCATTGGTTATTTTTTGATCTTGAGGAACATGGTGGCTAAATCCCTCATTTTATGTTAGAGATGAATACATCAGCTAAGAACAGGGCAAAGTGAGAAACATCAAAGGTACAGAAAAGAAAATATGAAATGAGTTGACCCTCAGAGTTCAAGCGGTATAAAGGGAGAAACATTCTAGGAAAAATGTTTACAGTTCAAGTTTTGATTATTAAACACGATGGCACTTTCTAGTATTAAACTAAAACATCAAGCATTATTAGCATGATGGGTAAATTCTATTTTTGATAATAAAGCAATTCCTAACACTTTCCTGCTAATATTAAAAAGTGATGGAAATAAGTCTGTAGTCATTTGTTTTCTAGAACATAAAAAATTAAAACAGCAAAAATGCTTACCCTAAAGAAGTCAATGAAGCTAGATCACTCTCACTTTTGATGTTGGCAACAAACACAGCAGAGAAGAAAACATTATGATAGGGCAAACGATAAAATTTTGCATCTATCTGTTGTGATTATTGAAAATGTTTAACCAATAAGAAGAAAAAATATTCTCATCAGAATACATGATGATGAGAATGTTACTGATACAAAAATGGAGATGTAAAGTGAAGTATACTGCAAATATTAAAATGTTCGGTAAAGGCTGTTTGCAATGACAGGTAGAGGAAAAAACTCCAAACACATTCTATTTTGGACTCAATATTTTGTTTATTTGTATATATTTTTATATTTCACACCTAGCAACATCTATTTATCATCATTCTTGTGGGGAAAAACTTGACAAAGGCAATTAACTTACATTATATCAGGTATAAATTTGAACTTTACACTCTTTACACTGTGAACTCTAAAGACCATATTAGTAAGGTCAATCAACATAATGAAAATATAGCATAGAACTGCACTAGTCTTTACGATTTTCCACAGAGGTCGAAGGGGGGAAAAAAAACCAAGTTCTAGGTGTGAAGTAATTCCTTATCATTCTTTAAAGAGCCCTGATAGAAAATTAGCATCTCTCTTTATACAAAAGAAATGTAAAGGAAGGTAAGAAATTATAAGCTAGAACACAAAACATCAGGGTTGTACATTATGTTATTATCAATAACAGGTATGGTACAAGATCATGGCAGTGCTAAGATGTTAATAACATATCTGAAAGAGGAAAAGCATTACAGAAGGCTTTCTTTCAGTTGTTTCCTAGGGTGTATCACCATCAGCTGGCTTCGCTGTCAGGAAATCAAACTATTACTCTACTTTGAAATTAAAGCAAATTACACATGTCAGACCTAGATTTAAGGTTTTATTCAAATGATAAAGAAGATGGTTAAGACACAGGTTTAGCTATAAAAGGAAGTCTTTTTTGCTAATCTCTTCCACTACTAAACCAGTTTTTAAGAGAAAGACTTTCATGTACTCCTTATTAGTCATAATAATCAGGCTAAAAACAAAGAAGCAGTCAGTATGAATGTAAAGGAAAATATTAAATCTTTAAAAAGGTGACTTTATGTCTCATAAGTACATCATAATTTCTCAATTACAAATGGATTACATATCAGTGATTACACATCTGTGACCTGCTATTTATTAAACCAAGGGGCAATTTCATGATGGAGTATCTCACGATTAACTGTCGAAGCAGTTAACTCAGCTTCTAAAAGTGTTCAGGTTTAGAGTTGGAGAGGAGCTTAGATATCTGAGTTGGTTGGTATAATTTCAAGTTACAAAATAGTACCTAAAGAAAAAAAAATAGTATTAACTCCCACACCTAGTCCATCATGCATATGTGCATAAGTGTGGGGAAGGTCTCAGAGCTGAAATAGGCATTTAAATTTCACTCTAGAAAAATTCCATAACATCACAGTAAAATAAACAGCAGAGACAACTGTGCAATATTTTTTTATTGGATGAAAGCAAAAGATATTTTCTGAAATGTTACAATTACCAGGTCAAGCCTTCAGAAATGAAGATACTAGCATCTACCAAGATACTAAATGAAATAGAGACCACAAGATAAAACTTATGCAAAATAAGGCATGGATGGGTTCATAGGCAACAACTTTTATATTTGACACAATACTTTGTTTTATATTATTACTATATATTTATTACAGTATTTCTAAACACACATTGAAAAAGGGAAGTAACAATCTCTAGTGTCTTGTAATTTAGACCAAGAGATACCAGAACAAATAAAGTCACCAAATATTTGCCTTAAAAAAAATACTGTATACATTCAACAGAAATAATCAAACATGGACACATGATTCAAATTTGAACTTAAAAGGATTAAATAATTGGCCTGTAAGGCAAAATCCTTTAAAGACGTAATATACAACACTTCAAGGATTCTAGCTGTTCAGATGGCTGGACAATGTAGTCTAGGATCTCTAAAATTTCAAAAATATGTCCCCTTCCACTCTTTAAAGTTTGACATTCATTTTCATAAACCAATACAGAATTTCAGACATCGGACATTCCGGCTAGACAAATATATTTTGAAAAGCTTACACATTACAAGTTCTGGGACAGGGAGCGTGGGCAAGCAAAGCACAGGTCTTCCGCTGCGGGAGCTGAAATCAGATCTCCTCAGTTGGGCAGGTCCACATTGCGAAGGATGAGGGCCACTCGGTTTGGAATGTACACCTAAATCAACACAGTCGTGTCAGTGCATTTAAAAGAAACACTGGGCTTGATATCGTATCAAAGCGACTTGATATCGTATCAAAGACGATGCAGTCCGCATTTGCGTAAATTACAATTTTTTTTCTTTTCAATTCCACTGGCTCCGAGGAGGCTCTGTTCGACAGTTCTGGCATAAGACTCCTTTAAAACGATCACCGCTAGAGGGCTCCATACGCTTTACAAAACCCGATGCTCCCCAGACAAAAAAGGACAGAAAGCCTTGGCGGCTCCGGTTCCGAACCGGCAGGTGCTGAAGGCAGGCTGCCCTCCAGTTCACAACGTTAGTCTAGTCACGTAAATAAAAGTAACATACAAAAGACTGGTCAATCAGGACACTTATTATTGTTCTGGTTAGTATCCTCTCCTGTCATTTTAGGAACAAAACCTTAAGGGTCACAGTATAAGGTTATCTTAAGTGGATTTTATTCCCTGCCCCAATTTAAATCAGTCAAGAGGCTTGCCACCGATTGAAGGTGCAATCCACTTCTTTGCATGCCCTGCAGAGTCCTGACTCACTCCTTCTTGAATATGTGCAACTCCCGTCTCAGATATGCTCTTCACTTATCCCTTCACCCTTTACTTCTCGTAGATCTTGAAAAATCCCAACTCCATGGAGAGGTGTTCTTTGACAACTCTAGATCTGATAGTGTCTCCATTTTCTATCACAGCACCATTTTTCTTTCTATCTGAACATTTAACACAATTTGTAATTTTTTTTTCAAGTTTATGATCAACCCTTCCCACTAGATTATTAGGTTTACCAGGGCAGAGGCCATATGTCTTCATATTTCTAACTTTTAGTAGGTGCCAGTGGACAAAGCAGGTGCCAGGGATGACTAAATAAAAGAATGAATGAAGGAATAAGTAACTGTGGGATCAATATGTGTATATTTCACAAGATATTAATATACTTGCATCTAAAATAATGTTTATAAAACTGAGAAGTGATTTGAACTGCTTGATGCTTAGCTGTGTGCTATTTTACACATACGGGATTAATTACTATTAACAAGGCAGACAGTAAAAATAATATTACATATTGCTGTCATCATTGTGAGATTATCTCTCCATTTCTGAATTTGTGAGTAATGTACAATTTTCAGTTACTTTAACTGAAAACTTGACCAATGATTTAAAAAAAAAAGAGAAAGGCTTTTATAGTTTAGAACCGAATGAAAGATGAAAAAAAAGAAAAAAAAATAGAGCTTTAGGGAAAAAAATTAAAGAACAGAACAGCTGATTTTCACTAACAGACCACTGTATGTCTAGTGTATCTCAAGTCAGCAAATGAACACAACATTTTCCCACAAGGTTGCTGTGATAAAGACATCTTACAACGGTTTTTAAAAAATCAGATACATCAACAGAGTTAGTTTTGAATATTAATGATTAAAGCAGTTTTTAAATGATGGAATTTTGAAAAATTTATATTAGGAATGCAATAACTAGAGAACAGTTTTTCTAATCTGGAATTAAAAGTAAGTGACTTAGCACTGTCATCTGAGAAAACTGTCACACAAGCTCACAGTTTACTGCGTTACTCACTGTCTCAGACTGATATGCTATCCAGTACTTAACCTCCAAAAGATATATTACATTCTTGTGTTCATTAAGTGTGGAGAACTGTGTATTTCAATGCCATAATCAGTTTCCCTACAATTTACACATTGTTTTTAATGTCATATAGCTTTTAAACCACATCGTGATTTAGTGGCTAATATCTCTTCCATTCAATAGTTTCTCTTTGACAGTTATAGATAAGCTGTTATAAGATGGGCTCAACAAAAGAAAGCCGGAGCTACCCATGAACAAAGACAAGACTATACCCAGGGGTCCAGACAGATCTAGTGCAAACTATGGCCTATTTCCACAATGATGCTACAGACTAAAGCAACACAGACCAAAGCCAGAGAGGAGAAATCAAAGAAATCAGTAGTCAGATTCAGTCAATTCCCTCTCCAAGTCTTCTCAAAACAGGCATGAATCGAGAAAGAGCAGTTCTGGGACTTCCCTGGCATTTCAGTGGTTAAGACTCTGTACTCCTAAAGCATGGGATGTGGGTTTGATCTCTGGTCGTGTAACTAACATGCCACGTGTCAGAGTCAAAAAATTAAAAAAAAAAAAAAGAGAGAGAGATACCTGTTCTGCCTTATTCTATCTGTTTAGTTCAGGGAATCATAGTAACTAGGTGTAAGCAATCAGTGGGACAGCAGGTTATAATCAGAATGTTTCTGAATTGTCCTATTGAGAGCATTCTAACACTGAAGACTGATCTAAATTTCTCGGTAGCATGGGAAACTGAAGAAAAGGATTTCAGGTCCGTTTACCTTAAAAACACCTCTCTGGTATCTTTGACCCTATATGCAGATAAAGAGATTCCGCTTGGCCCGGCTCCTGAGAAGGCAGCTGTAAAGACATGTAAGGCCCAGGACAAAGAGTGCCAGGCCCCCAGTGTCGCAGAGCGATCGACCAGGATGTTGCCTCAGTCTCTTACCGGATCTTACACTGTTTCAGGATCCACCCTGATTTTATTACCTCATACTGATTTAATTAACAAAATATGAACAACTATAAGCTGATAATTTAGAAGCAATCTTACTCTCTGTGATCTCTGGTATTTTAGCTAGCCCAAATTTAAGAGTAAAACAAAGAGGGTGATGTAAGAACTTCAAGGTTTGCAATAAATGCACTGAATTTCCTCTTTTGGCATTTAATTGTTAAAAACATCTTACAACTGTTTTTAAAAAATCAGATACACCAATAGAGTTAGTTTTGAATATTAATGATTAAAGCAGTTTTTAAATGATGGAATTTTGAAAAATTTATATTAGGAATGCAATAACTAGAGAACAGTTTTTCTAATCTGGAATTAAAAGTAAGTGACTTAGCACTGTCATCTGAGAAAACTGTCACACAAGCTCACAGTTTACTGCGTTACTCACTGTCTCAGACTGATATGCTATCCAGTACTTAACCTCCAAAAGATATATTACATTCTTGTGTTCATTAAGTGTGGAGAACTGTGTATTTCAATGCCATAATCAGTTTCCCTACAATTTACACATTGTTTTTAATGTCATATAGCTTTTAAACCACATCGTGATTTAGTGGCTAATATCTCTACCATTCAATATTTTCTCTTTGACAGTTATAGATAAGCTGTTATAAGATGGGCTCAACAAAAGAAAGCCGGAGCTACCCATGAACAAAGACAAGACTATACCCAGGGGTCCAGACAGATCTAGTGCAAACTATGGCCTATTTCCACAATGATGCTACAGACTAAAGCAACACAGACCAAAGCCAGAGAGGAGAAATCAAAGAAATCAGTAGTCAGATTCAGTCAATTCCCTCTCCAAGTCTTCTCAAAACAGGCATGAATCGAGAAAGAGCAGTTCTGGGACTTCCCTGGCATTTCAGTGGTTAAGACTCTGTACTCCTAAAGCATGGGATGTGGGTTTGATCTCTGGTCGTGTAACTAACATGCCACGTGTCAGAGTCAAAAAATTAAAAAAAAAAAAAAGAGAGAGAGATACCTGTTCTGCCTTATTCTATCTGTTTAGTTCAGGGAATCATAGTAACTAGGTGTAAGCAATCAGTGGGACAGCAGGTTATAATCAGAATGTTTCTGAATTGTCCTATTGAGAGCATTCTAACACTGAAGACTGATCTAAATTTCTCGGTAGCATGGGAAACTGAAGAAAAGGATTTCAGGTCCGTTTACCTTAAAAACACCTCTCTGGTATCTTTGACCCTATATGCAGATAAAGAGATTCCGCTTGGCCCGGCTCCTGAGAAGGCAGCTGTAAAGACATGTAAGGCCCAGGACAAAGAGTGCCAGGCCCCCAGTGTCGCAGAGCGATCGACCAGGATGTTGCCTCAGTCTCTTACCGGATCTTACACTGTTTCAGGATCCACCCTGATTTTATTACCTCATACTGATTTAATTAACAAAATATGAACAACTATAAGCTGATAATTTAGAAGCAATCTTACTCTCTGTGATCTCTGGTATTTTAGCTAGCCCAAATTTAAGAGTAAAACAAAGAGGGTGATGTAAGAACTTCAAGGTTTGCAATAAATGCACTGAATTTCCTCTTTTGGCATTTAATTGTTAAAAAACTGCTCTAAGAATTCTCTCTAAATGATGCTGGCCATTTTATGTAAGGACTTTTATGATGCCAATTCCAGTCACACTTCAAGGCCGCTTAATACTATCTGCTCAAAAACCATTGGTTGATAATTGTACAATATCATTAACAGGAAAATTGTGTAATTATACTTTTTCACTGCAGTGTTAATTACCAGAATGTGTTCATGTTGCTTCAGAGCCCTTGCAGTATAGGCAACATGAAAAAATTTCCCCAAGCAACAGATTTTTTTTCTTAACTACGGCTATTTATGGATTTTGAAATTTTCTTCTTTATTAGGGTTCTGCATATATAAATCAATGTTCTTAGTAGTTAGGAAATGACTACCAATTATACTAAAAGACTTAAGATAATTAGAGCTAATTCTTATGATGCGACAATTACAGACATAAACAATTTGGGGCTCTATAATTTATTGCTAAGTATTGGCTTCTGTAAATCTCAATTTACAATTTTAATTCTATAAATAGTTTTGATTCCTATGGCAAAAGAAACATGAACATATTTTAAGTAGATTTAAATAGAACTGCTTATATTTAAATATGAATATCTTGTATTTAAGCTTATGTATACAGAAACCATTTAGTATACCCATCACAGATAGTATATGCTGATAAACATATTCACCATGCCCATTTACTAGTCACTAAGCCATGAACATTTTGTAGCTAGGATCACATTAAGAACATATGAGACAGTGTAATGTAATGTCATGAATTTTATTTTTTTCTAGCTGTCTTTGTAATCTGTTCTTCACAAGGAATCAGAATGCCACAGCATAATCTGGTTCATTTATTAAGAGAGTCAAAATGCATGCCATTTACTCAGTTATTTTGACTACATAAGGACTTAATCACTACACAAACTATTACTATGCATTAAAAAACAACAACAACAACAATAACTTTGATCATACAATGATCTAGTATATTATGCCATCCAAGCAAAGTATTATGCTCTTCTTGGGTCAAAATTGATTTATAAATATTAATTGCAGTTTTGTTTTTTTTTAATTGCACACTTTTTGAAAAGGGGTTATCAAAAATTCGGAAACAGCAAACTTAAAAATAATTTTCAATAAAAATACTTAAAAGGCAAATTTTAAAATGTTCTTACAAATTGTAAAATTTAGCAACTGTATAAATCATAGTGAAAACAGCATTTGTTGAAAAGGGCATTAGATCTTAACAATCTACATATATGTCTATCACAAATTATTTTGAAAAATAAGGATGACATAAATAATTTTAATTTTCACATATATCTTTTAATTTATAAAATATTTTCTAAGGGAAAAACATTATAATTCATTATTTTGCATTAGGCTTAAGAGAAAAGTGATCTAGTAAATATTTCTATGTAGAAATATATATTTAGAAATATGAAAAAGAGAAAACTTTATGAATTAAAATTGATTTGTTTAAAAAAAAACAAAACATTTTCATAATTCTTGGTAGAGCAAAAAAATATTTCCCAACTTAATTTATATTTTCAATACCTACAACTGAGGGGCAATAATAAAGATACATCTATGTCAAACACCCTATTTAAACTAAAAGTCTACCTTGGAATCACCAAATTTAGACTGGAAGTAAACAGATCTATTTCTTAAGATTAAGGAGATTTACTGGCAAAATAATAGATGCTAAAACTATTGCTTTATTCACATTTCACCATTAAGACTACTTAAGTTATTGTAAAGCAATCTAATTTATTTCAGGGTCAATCATCTCTGTTCTTTGATTTGTGCCATGGAGTTTGAATTTATGAATCAGAAAAGAAAAAGGAAGCGCCCTTGCCCCTTCTGGTTTACTGATGAAGTTACAGGTTAAATGTAAGTTCCTATATCAGAAGCTAAAATGCAGAGAAATCATTATGCTAAAATGGAGTTTCCAAAAACTGCCAGTAAAGCAGAATGGAAAAGTTCTGCCTTATAGCTTCTTGGCCTTTGTGAGATACTCCAACCTTAGCATATACATTTCAGCAGCAGTACACGTTCAGTTCTCCTCTGGTTTCACAGTTTTAACTGATGGAGCACATAAAGAAGATGCCGGGGTGGTACCTGCTGAAGCTGCAGCGTGTGTAGCTATTTTAAAATTCCTTTGAGTTCTGTTTGTTGCTATCTTTGAAAACAGATTTGACACTTATTCAGCAGATCCTTTGGATTACTGAGCTTGCAAATTAAGCTTTGGCAAATACAGTGTGCTAGTTGTGATGGACAGAAATTTCCTGGAAAAGTTACATTTTTGTCTCCCCTTCCCTCTTTATTCTAGACATGTGGGAGGCAGAAGTCAGGTCAAATGAGACCTAAAACCTGACTTGATCCCAGCACATTATTGATCAGTTTAATAAAGAGTTCTGTTATAATGAGGCATTCTTATACTGGATGTATATTTGAATCTTCAAAAGATAACTCAGGTAAGAAGGAATTTGTTTTATTGGATTTTCTGGTCTACTGGGGCTCCCTTATTGTATAAAAAATTATTATATTGCATTAATATAAATTATTCAAAAAATCACAATACCATAATGAATACTATGACTATTTTATGTACCCACACCTTGCTTAAGAAATCATCCCTAACCACCAACCTTTTTTTTTTTTTAAATTGTAGTGTAGTTAATTTACTGGGTGCCTTATTTTTTATATTAAAACCCATGATCATTTCATTTGGAATCTAAAGGCTTATTTAAAATGAGTTATTCCTAAAGCACCTGTAGTCATCAAAAACAAGATGCTGCTGCTGGGAAGACAGAACCAATATTTACCTCCTGACCCAGTGGGATCAGAATTCTATTACAGGTAGTGGTTAAGCTCTGCTCTGTTTCTCATATGCTTGCACGGCTGTATCTCTCTACCTGTTATGGAGACTTATGTGACATTCTCCGTTCCATCAGCTCATTTAGAACTGCGAAGTCCATATTTGCAAGATCAATTTAATTAGTGCTTGAAAAGTAATCTCCTGTCTGTGGCTGCCACTGGTTACTTGGCTTGTTTTAATTATGACAGAATATCTTTGCCCTTAAAAAATCAAAAGGATGTCAAGATGTTTTCTGCCCAGCCTCAAAGATTGCAAGCTCTCACCTAAGATGATAATTTCTCCAAAGTTGGGAGAATGTCCTCAAAGCATCTAGTGTCTTGGCACACTTAGAATACCTAAATAAATATTGAACAGCCATGACAATAATAATTTTTAAATATATGTTCAGCAGCATTTTGCAGTTTCCTCAGTGTTTGGCTGTGTTATTGAATTTATACCTAAGAATCCCTTGCTATAGGCAGGACACTATTATTAATCCTCACTATACAGACAGGCAAACGCAGGCACAAAAAGGTCAAATTACTCAAGTTCTCATAGCTGGCATCCATAAATGGCAGACTGGCGACTTAACCCCAAATCCCCTGCCATGACATTTTGTGATCTTTTCCCTGTATTACCAGGCTTCCCTCACCAACATAACCCTCTTTGGCTACATGAACCTTTAGGAAAGTTAGCTAGGTAACATGTTTGCTGGCTGGAATTTCAAATTTCTTTCCGTCTATATCAACTGGTTCAAGTCTGGCTTTATCACAACGGGTGCTGCTTCTCCCTGACGCCTCCTTATGAGCTCGGTCACCTTCCCTAACCCCTCAGGGTTCTCTAAGTCTTCGGTTATTTCAGAGCTTGAAGATCATTTTCTCATTCAATTTCAGAAACTATTTTTATCAGTCTTATTTTACATGTCAAAACTGAATGTTCTGACAACCAGAGCAAGCATTCTTGGAAGAAGTAATCTGCTAGCACCTGTGAGCCCTCCCTCTTGAAAATACATATGAATTTGTATTTCCAGCTAAAGCCAAATCAACGTCATCATCAATAGCAGCACCCTACACACACACCGAGGGCAACACCCAGGTCTCCGAAGGCTAGTGGCTTTGCTCAGAGCTGATAGTCAACAACTTAGTCTTATTCATCTCTGCTCTTTTATTTTATGCTGCTGTCTTTGACATATATAATAGCAGCTTACAAAGTAAGGTGCTGCTACCATCCTGGGAGGAGGGAATATAGTAGAAAAGGAGGGAGCAAGGGGTACCATACAGATTCTCATGTTTGATATTTATCTAAACTTTTCTTTTTAATGAGAGAATTAAACAGCAATGATAAAACTATACATTATGGGATACATCTTGGCCTTACATAAGTGAAATAAACCCAAGTCCTCTCCTTGTGAAACAAGCAAACAAAAAAAACTGCAGTGCTGAGACAGACAGGTAGAAGAAGAGGGATGAGAAAGAAAGAGAGAGAGATACATGACTAGTCATGAAAAGCAAAACATATATAATGCAGATGTGGACTTGGCCATAAACGAAGAATTTCTCCACCTATGCAGAATTTCTAAATTCTACATTACAATTTTTTTACTGAAATATAGTTTCAGGTGTATGACATGATTCAAATTTTTTATATATTATACCCCATTAATAGTCATTATAAAATATTGGCTATATTTTCTATGCTGTACAATATATCTGTGCAGCTTATTTACTTCATAAATAGTAGTTTGTGCTTCTTAATCCCTAACTCTGTCCTGTTGCTACCCTTACCTTATGCCCACTGGTAACCACTAGCTTGTTCTTTATATCTGTGACTCTATTTCTGTTTTGTTATATTCACTGGTTTACTTTTTAGACTCCACATGTAAGTGATAACAAATAGTATCTGTCTTTCTCTGACTTCTTTCATTAAGCATAATACCCTCCAGATCCATCCATATTGCTGTAAATGGCAAAATTGTATTTAAAAAGAAATTGAATTTAGTAGTTTAAAGCAGTATCCTGTCATTGTGTCAACCTCATAAAGTAAAATTTTGTTAATATAAAACAACACTCTCCTCAGTAATACAAAGAAACCAGAGAATTTTATAACTAGAATGAATTCACAGTCTTTAATGACTACATGAAAGAAAAAAAAATGTATATATAGATTCTTTTAAGGTGTTTAAAATGAAACTTTGATAGTCCATAATATAGAAAGCTGCAAGAAGAAAGTAAATTGTTGTAGGAAAATTAGAAATATAATAGAAAGAAAGCTAAAACCTGTCTTCCTCTTATGTCTTGAGAAATAATTTTTAATCCTATTAATATTCAAATTTCCCCAATTGTCTGCTAAATATTCTTTATTATTTGTTTTTCTAAAACCCAGTGAGTCCAGCACCACACATTGCATCTATTTTCTTCATGCGATCAATACCTCTTCCCTACTCCCTGCCTTGTTTCCATGTTGCTGACTTGCTGAAGAGTTGTCTCCTTGGACAAAAAGGCATCACTCTGAAAATACAGAATAAATTTAAGTGAAATGAAAATACCTTAAAATCTTACTTACCAAAAGAGAACAGGGACAGTTATTATGTTCAAAAGGTTCAGAGAAGAATTCGGTATTGTGGTCCAGTCTCTTGTGTCCTCCGTATTCTGCTGCATCTGAATCGAGCACAATTTTGTACGTATAGCTCTTAAGGAATTACAACAGTTTGGGAGTTGAATGAGACATTATATAATACGTCTGAGACAGGATTTAGTAGCGAGTATTCGGAACATTGTTAAATGATGATTTGTGCTATGTTCTCTTTTCTTTACTATTTCAGTTTCTCATGTTTGAAAGGGCTTTGTAGGCTATCTAGTCCACACACCCACGGGACCTTTGTTATCCTTTTATCACAGCTTGGCACAAGATCATCTATACCTATTAGAGAAGAGTCTACTTTCTTCTTCGTGCAACCAGTTCCATTTTTTAGAAATTCTTTTCCATGTTGAGCAGAATTTTGATTTTCTGAAAACTTTTTCCACTCAGAAAAGCCATAAAGAATAAGTTCAAAATACAGTGGCTTTCAAATATTTAATAATAGCTATGCTATCTCCATTGGTCCTCTACATATATTACTAAATACTTATTAAATAGAATCTGAGAACCTTCAATGATTTCTCATTCGATATGGCTGTTTCTCTTTTCCCATCCCTGAATTCATTCTAGTTTGCTAGATCCTGGTTGACAAAGTGAGGAATACAGAAGTGAACTAAGGGTCCACATATGTTCTGAAGATTGAGCACACTTGGTTACAGACACATGCTTCTATTAATGCACAAGTTCATGTAAACATACTAGCCATTATGCTACAGAATTCATGTTGTAATCATGTGATCTGATACAGTGAACTATTTGTATGGTAGTAGTAATGCATTTATTTAACTTACANAAGAGCTGACTCATTGGAAAAGACCATGATGCTGGGAAATATTGAAGGCAGGAGGAGAAGGGGATGACAGAAGATTAGATGGTTGGATGGCATCACCAACTCAATGGACATGTTTGAGTAAACTCCTGGAGTTGGTGATGGACAGGAAGGCCTGGCGTGCTGCAGTCCATGGGGTCACAGAGTCGGACACGACTGAGTGACTGAACTGAACTGAACTGAGTATTGTATTTATAACAAAACAACAGCTAAGGTTCCTATGTTCAAATTTATAATCAGAAAGTCTAGAAGTGATACGTGGTTAAAAAATCTACAAGTAAATACACATGGATACTTAGAAATTTAAGTTTCTTCTAGTTTAAGGAGGGAGACAGACGGGTGCCTAGGTGTTTTGCATTTTCCTGGTATTTAATCTCAGAAATGTTTGTATATTTTTATTACAGCAAAAGCTATCACATTAAAAGTACAGGGGGGTTAAGAAGTTATGACTATCATTTTCATTCCTAGACCTTTGTTTAAGAGATGCAGATGGCTGCACCATAGGAATTTTGCTGGGAGTGGTGACTCCATTTCAGTCAATCCAAGTCAATGTACTCTAATGCAAATCTAGGCTAACAATCAGCATGCTAATGAACTTAAAGCAGAGGGAGAGGGACAAATACTGAGTTCAAAAGCTGACTACAGGCCACAAGCACATTCTATCCATACTCACGTGATTTGAGCATGTGATTTATTTACTGGAGAAATATGGACAGGATAGTGAGAACAAATCACTAGAGACATGGTAAATAAATGAAGCCCTTTGGTATGAAAGGAACTATTAAAAGGAAGCTTAGCTTTTGTTCTTCATCCTAGTTCATTAATTACTTGCACGAATCTTCAAAAAGCATTAAACAAAAACAAAAAGAGTCCAATACAGTTTAAAGAATAAAGACCTAGAATCCATTCTGCAACACCTTCAGAAATACATCCATTCAGAAATACTTTATCAATTATTAAGTTATTGGTTAACAACATAGATTATTGGTACTAGTGACTGAAGGAAGGAAGTATATCGTGAAAAGCACTGATTCCCAACCTGTGGGTAGATGATCACTGGCCATTGTGTTATCATAAGAGTCTCACAGAATGAGTAATTACCTTATTATAAGGGACTGGGATTCTATATATACCTGTGTGAAGACTAAATTATGTGGTCTTATACCCATTTGGTACTTTTTTTCAAAGAATGTGCACTTTTTTGATTAATATGACATAGAGGTTTTCAAAAGTCACAGAATTTATAGTAAGTTTTTTGCCTATATATTTTCTCAATGAAGGATACTGAAAGAGCAATTGTTATATAAGGATCAATATATTTTTGACATTGAAAGGGATCATCACACTGAAAATGGTAAGAATCTACTCACTTAATGGATATAATTTATAGCTATAAAGGAAAAGCCATAAAGTTTCAAAACACCAGTTTAGACCTATTTTTCTGATCTATAATTTAAAGAAAAAAATTCTGCCATGGCTACTTTTGGAATTACCCAGCCCTGTATCTATATTACCCAGCGACTACAATAACTTCCTTTAGAAAACACGACTCTTAATTCCAGAAATTCCAACAATTTAAAACACTAGATTAAAAAGTAATGATTGTGACAGAGCTTTATAATTATAAATTACTATATTACTTAAGAACCAGGAAACCAGAGAAATGCAAATCAAAACCTCAATGAGGTACCATTACACGCCAGTCAGGATGGCTGCTATCCAAAAGTCTACAAGCAATAAATGCTGGAGAGGGTGTGGAGAAAAGGGAACCCTCTTACACTGTTGGTGGGAATGCAAACTAGTACAGCCGCTATGGAGAACAGTGTGGAGATTTCTTAAAAAATTGGAAATAGAACTGCCATATGACCCAGCAATCCCACTCCTGGGCATACACACTGAGGAAACCAGATCTGAAAGAGACACGTGCACCCCAATGTTCATCGCAGCACTGTTTATAATAGCCAGGACATGGAAGCAAACTAGATGCCCATCAGCAGATGAATGGATGAGGAAGCTGTGGTACATATACACCATGGAATATTACTCAGCCATTAAAAAGAATTCATTTGAATCAGTTCTAATGAGATGGATGAAACTGGAGCCCATTATACAGAGTGAACTAAGCCAGAAACATAAAGACCATTACAGTATACTAATGCATATATATGGAATTTAGAAAGAAGGTAACAATAACCCTATATGCAAGACAGAAAAAGAGACACAGATGTATAGAACAGACTTTTGGACTCTATGGGAGAAGGCGAGGGTGGGATGATCTGCATCGAAACATGTATATTATCAAGTGTGAAGCAGATCGCCAGTCCAGGTTGGATGCATGAGACAAGTATTCAGGGCTGGTGCACTGGGATGATCCAGAGGGATGGGACGGGGAGGGAGGTGGGAGGGGGGCTCAGGATGGGGAACACATGTAAATTCATGGCTGATTCATGTCAATGTATGGCAAAAACCACTACAAAATTGTAAAGTAATTAGCCTCCAACTAATAAAAATAAATGGAAAAAAAAAAAAAGAACCAGGAAACCCCATCTTTTAGGAACACTGCTCAGAATAGACATTTAAAAGGGTTATCTGGGCAACCGGATTTTTGCTTCTCTCTTCTCTCATCCTGGCATTCCCTCACTCCCTCTTTCTCATGTGCGTGTGGACACACACTGATTACACACGTGGCGTGGGCCCCACTCAGCACCAACACCCCTAGAGAGCCCTGCACCGTCTGCCAGTGAAGAATATCCCTCTGAAAATATAACTCAGAGCTAGTTTACCCTTAAACTGTCTTCTTCATAGGATTTCCAATTCCACAGTAGATAAATTTAGCAGGACATCTCAGCACCTCCACGTCTCTTTTATTCATAGCTGCCTCCTTACATCTAGCAGAGTGCCTTCTCATTATAGCTTTTCAGTACATCTCTGAAACTGATATTCAGGATGACAATTCTGATTCATGAAGAAAGGCCAAATTACATGTTTTATATTTTATATTAGAGGAACGTAGAAGAAATTATTTTTCCCATTCACTTAATAAATACACACAATGTAGGATGCTCTGTGCAAGATATTAAAAAAAATGACTAAGATGTAGTTTTAGTTTATGTGCAACTCATAGCCTGTTAAGGGGAGATTAGAAACACATATGAATGTCCATTAATAAAGCAGAAGGCAATATTCAGTGAGAGGTACAGCCAAGGAGAGAAGGTAGGATTGACAGTTTATAAACAAAAAGCTTTGAAGGCTGGCTAGACTGTTCAGATTTATTTTATAATTAAGTGTGAGAATGTTGAAGCTTTGTGAGAAAGGTTATGCTAATAAAAACAAACAAACAAAATTAACCTGAAGGTTAAGGGTAGAATAGAATGAACAGTTAACAGAATGAACAGAATGAATAGTTAAGGGACTAGACTAAGTCAGAAAAACCGGCCAGGAATCTAACAGTGGTCCATGGATAGTAGCATGGTTAAACTTGGATAGTACAAATGGAGAGACATACATAAACAATGTTTTTTTTTTTTTTTTGTATGTACAACTGATGGTACTCTAATGGGAAACTGATGCCCAATTTGAGGAAACACTTAGAAGGGGAAGAGTTGTGCCCAAAGACACACAGTAAGTTTTGTGGTAGAGCTGGGATGTAGACAGAAGTCAAACGTAGACTTAATTTACCCTACTCTCCACAAGTGGATGCCTGGTTTATGCCAAGAATCAGGCAGAGTGGTTTTTTTTTTTTTTTTTTGGCAGTTTCTTTGTTTAATTCCAATTTTGAGATTCTAAGCATAAAGAGTCCGGAATGAACATGGCTTGAAGAATAAAAATAAGGAAAATAGGTAAAGTGATATCCTAGTGTTTAAGTTTAAAAGATTGGTGCTAAAGGACTGTGATTCTTACCATTACTTAAGGAGTCTGAATATCAGAGGTTTGTTGCATTTGTTTTAGATCAATTTCTTGCTCAGTTGGTTCATTTGATCTGTTGTTTGGGGTATACAAAATGTACTTTGCTCAATTTGGGAAAATACAGCAGGGAAAAGAACTATAAAAATTTTATGGAGAGTTTTTAAAAGGAGATCAAATAGATTCCTATTCATTGGGATATCATTTTAAAATATTTTGATTTCTTCTTATTTTAAATTCAAGAGCTTCCTAAGTATTTGATATATCTATCAATAGGTTGAAGTCAATAAGAAGTTTTAAGCATTATTTTA